AACCCCCCCCCCCCCCCCATTTTTTCCAAACCAATAACTGTAAATATTTCCAACCTGTAGGGCACACTTTTCTACAAGAGCATGATTGCCGGTAATTATTTTTAGCTGCAGCTTACCACTGATGGGCGATACCCGAATTACAAATAACTCTGGAAAGACAAATAGAAGAGCTCTGTAACTCTTTGCAAGCCTATTCACGCTACAGAACAAACAGTAACAGGCGACACCCACTCTTTTCCGCGGAGTTCGTGACACACTCAAACGGACGTGACCTAAACCCTACTCCTGTCAGACTCGCTACAGATTTTTACACCTGCTGACTGAGCTGCTGGCCGGCATAGGCAGCTTTCAAAGGAGAACACAGGTCATTGTTTTGCATACATTATTTTTTCCTCATCTGATTTCTAAATGTAAAATTATGTGAGCACTACCTTTTTTTTTTGTGATGGAACTTTTGTTTTACATTAAATGAATCACTTTGTAATTAAATATAGTACATTTTAAAAAAAAAAACTAAAAAAAAACATGTTAAGTTCCAAAAGGTTTTTATTATTGGTTAAATCCATTTTTGGTTGTTTTTTTTTTTAAATCCCCACGTAATAAACTAGATGTCAGCTCACCTGACAACATTCATCGTCGAATTTGACGTCCTCTCATTCCAAACACCAGATATGCGTCACCTGATCAAACGTGAACCGAGTGCTTTGTCCCAAAGGGTGACGCCTGAATATCAGAATGAGCAGATGGTGTCGGGCAGTGTCTATTGATTGCTACACTACTTTATCGCGGTCCTTTAAAAAAAAAAAATCCATACATGCACGGTGGAAAGCACTACTAGGTTACGCATCGATGAACGATCCACAAATACGTCGGACAGGTATAGTTTATTTCAACAGGGTATTTGTATACCCTTAGGGTATTTGTATACCATCAGGGTATTTGCATATCATCAGGGTATTTGTATACCATCAGGGTATTTGTATACCATCAGGGTATTTGTATACCATCAGGGTATTTTTATACCATCAAGGTATTTGTATACCATCAGGGTATTTGTATACCATCAGCGTATTTGTATACCATCAGGGTATTTGTATACCCTCAGGGTATTTGTATACCCTCAGGGTATTCGTATACCATCAGGGTATTTGTATACCATCAGGGTATTTGTATATCATCCTTTAGAAGAGGAATAAATAAATGAACTGGCACAACATTTGTTTAAATTTATTTTTGTAATTTGAAAGATAATTTCTCTCCTACATGGAGCTCTGGGTATGCCTCATGTGTTGATGTCGACCTGAAGTTGTGCTCGACTTGGCGCTGTTAATCCTCCACGTAGTTTACATGATGGAGGCCCCAAACTGGCCAATCAAATACCACTTTCTAACATAACACATGGTACATCTCTTGAATGCAATCAACTGGCTGATTACTTCCTTGTGTGTTAATAAGGGTTTGGGTGGGAGG